CTGAAAGCAGTTCGTTGTTTTTGAAGTTTAAGGAAAATTCGTATTTCCTTAAAATGTCCAACCCAAGTATGCATGAATCTGTAATATCGGGGCCACATAAGCCATGTGATGATAGGCGGCGCTTCCAAACATGATGCTCACGTTTAATTTCTCAGCTATGTCGATCTTATAACCAGACGCAGTCTTCAGGGTAACACAGGATGGCGTCCAAATAAGTTTATTTTTAAACTGTTGAGCTAAATCTTTCCGAATGATGGTAACATTAACTCTTGTGTCAATGACCATATTGCAAGGAACTCCAACGATATGCCCATTGGTGGACAGTCCGTTACTGTTGCCATTCACAGTAGACATCTTGAACATTTTAAAATAACGTTTCTCATTATCTTGCAACTTCCGTTCATCGATATGATCATTAATTTGTTTCCTGCGTCGTTGCTGGGAAATAGTCTTATTTTCCATACCTTGGGGTGTTTTGCAGTCTCTTTGTATGTGGCCTTCAGCTCCGCAGTTCTAGCACTTTAGGGCTGGTTTCGTTTCGCCAGTATTCCTTCTCAAGGTATTCACTGGTCTTGCCAAATGAACCATTTTGTTTTCCGTGCCCTAGGGTGTTCTGCAATGCCGTCGTATGTGGCCTTCAGCACCACATCTCCAACACCTTAGAGCCAGTCCGTTCTCATTCCTACTCCGTATCAAAGCGTCGAATTGTCTGGATAAATCATCTAAACGAGCCATCAATTGATCTATTGGCTCGTGGACTCGCACAGCTCTGACTAGGTGGTGATCTTTACGAGTTGCTTGCTGGGCTGCCTCATATTTCATGGCGTACAACAGAGCAATTTTTACGTCCTTCAAATCCGCCATTCACAGAGCTTTACTGTGTTTCAGGATCCCGGATGCCGTCGATGAAGTATTGCAGGGACAGGATTTCCCTTGTTTCTCTCGGCCACTCCGAAAAGGCGAAATGGGACAGCCGTGGCGAGATTCTGGAGTGTTTCCGTGGGCTTCTGTTGGCGGGATTTTAATTGAAGTCTACTGTCATCTTTTACGCATTTCTTGCCAAACCGCAGTTCCAATGCGCCTGATAAAGCTTCGAAATCTAGCCTTTGGTTTTCTGGGAGAGTCTGAAGGAACTCCGCTGCGTCTGCTCTCAGAGAAGCGGCGAGATGACAGGTCCTAGCTTGGGAATTCCATCCATTTGCTTTCGCCATTACTGAAAATTGCGTCTTATATACTTGCCAAGAGGTTGTAATATCTTGTTATTTAACAAATAACTATATTAATTATTGAAGTGGCAACGCCCTATTTGTATGATGTAACTGTTGCGCAACAGAAAAAATTGTTTAAAAATTTTTATTCTGAAAGCTTGACCAGCTATCAGATGTATGAAAATTTTCCCACATATAAGGTCTTCCCATCATACGTATATAGCTTCAGTGAGGGACGAGCAAGCATGGGTAAGAATTTAAAACTCTCGGAGTTGCTCCCTGCCGTCGCTACGAATTTTTTGGTGCTACTTTGGTAGACGGTTGCACGGATTTGGCGATTTTTTTTTTTGGCGAGCGATACAACTTATGGTAAACCCATTGCTAGACAAGTTATTTATGGTAACCGATACTTTGTTGCCATTTTGTTTAAAAAATAATGCGTTTTATTATGAAAAATTAAGTTTTTTAAATATTATTTATGGCTTCTAAATATTAAAAATCAATTTAATTTTGCATTTTTATTTGAAATAAAAATTTTTTTGTTTATGATATTTTATATAATTTTATGTTGTGGATGATGAATCAATGACGTCACCTTACTTAAAAAGTAATTGTTTTTATTAATATTCTATAAATTTAATCTAATATTTTAAACATTATTTATGGTTGTTAAATATTAAAATACAATTTAATTTTGTATTTAAAAAAATTTTATTATGAATGATTATTTAAATAATTTTAATTCTATGCGTGATGTAATCAGCTCCCTGATTGGTTACTGAATATTTGCGCATTACCGCGCCATTTTAAAATTTTATTATTCATCTCTTCGAATTCCTCAGATTTCAAATGGAATGGATATATCCGTTTCGAAGATGAATGTTGTTATTAGTAATTACCAAGAATTATTAGTATCGGAATAAAAAAATTGCCCTTTGAGACCTTATTTTGGCCAACCTGGCCTTTTTAATCAAAGATTTATTTATAAATTGTTACAAGCGTCAAAGGAAATTTATTTTAAATTTTTGGAGGAAATCTCGCTAATTGCTTCTTCAATGAAGTGCGAGAGATGTGGATCAAGATGAAGATCGTTAGATTTTTTTGTGGTTCTTATCAATATACGACAGGTAAAATACTTGAATAAAATACTTGAATGATAGAAAAAAATGTAAATACATAATTTTCTTTTACTTTATAATTGTATACTTCAATTTTTATTAAAAAATTAATCCAATGTTTTTAAAAATTCTTGAGATATTTATTCCCACATATATTTTAATGTTAAATAATTAAATCCTATAAAACTCATTTTAAAGTATTTGAATTTGAGTAATATTTTAATTCTTTTAAACCTTGATATGATGTTTTTAATTCGATATTCAATTTAAGTAATATTTTAATCCAATTAAATGTTGGCGCAATGTTTTTATAGCGGTGTTTTTATTCTATTATATGAAAATAATAATTTAACCTTATTTTAGCATTTTATACTCTTAGTAAATGAATTTATTTCCATTTGCCAGCCATCTTAAAAAAAAAAAAAAAAAAAAAAAAAAAAAAAAGTTTTCAACAAAAAAAATTAATCGATTATTTTAACGATATTTATTTATTTTTTTTTAAAGTTTCGAATACTTTACTATATGCGTAAAATAAGTAAAAACAGCATTTTTCAAAATGGCTGACGACTGTAAAAACCGGACCAACAATTGCGCCAATGTAAATCGCCAAAAATCCGTGCATCCATCTACCAAAGTAGCACCAATTTCTTCAATGTATCAACTTCTTTGGCAACCGCAGTAACCCTATCATTAATTTGTTGTTCCAAGGCAGGAACTCTCTCCTCTATTTGTTCTTTTACAGAAGAAACTCTGTCTTCTATTTGTCCAACTTTATTTTCAACCGTGTTAATTCTGTCTTCCATAGCTTCAAATTTGTTTTCTATTATGCACATGATTTCTCTTTTCATTGCCTCTTTAACTACTTTCATCTCGTCTTTAATGCGAGCGGTAAAGTCGCTGAACACTGGTAGTTCAGTCCGAGGTTCGAATCCCGCGAACGGGCTGGCTGCATGGGCGTTTTCGTGGATTTCCCCATGTGTAACGTGTATACGAGCCAGTTTTTCTTAGAAAGTCCTCCACAAAGGCATCCCTTCCCTTAGGCAGATAGCCCTCGTGTGCTTTGCCATAATTAAATACACCAAAATACACCATCTCGTCTTTAAGTGATTCTTGGCTGAATTTCATCTCTTCTTGACCAGAATCCATCTTTCTTTGACTGTTTTCATGTCTTCCTTAACAGAGTTGACGGTCCCTTCCCTCTTTTCTTGGAATGCAGCAAATGCAGTCATCAATTGCCTGAATTGTTCTTCCCTAGCTCTTGTAATTGGCATTCAAAATTCCACTTCTGACACCAAACATTGTTGCGTGTACGGATTCGTTATGAATTGAATGCCCAAATCAGATGAAAAGTGAAAACAATTTATAATTATCAGAACAAAAAAACAAAATACTTAAATTTCTTCAAAGATATTCGTACAATATCCCAATATCTCACAGTAGTTATCTTTTAAACTGCTAAAAACTATCAACAGAACTAATTCAAAATAGAGAAATGTATAGAAAGCTAATCCGCAAATTCGCTACAGTAAACAACAGCAGTTTTCTAAAAGAATTGCACATACTCGATATCCATGAACAGAACTATTTTCACTTAAAAAAAAAAAAAAATCGCAGAATTGCACAAAAATGGCACTGCGCACACCCTTGACTTTATCTATGTACACAACGACCTATTTTCACTTAAAAAGTAAAAAAAATTTGACAAAATCCAATTGTTTTTACCCTTGTAAAAAGCGGCAAACAAATAAGTGGACGATTCTGCACTTTAGAAAATTATGTTTGAACAACCAATGAGATGAAATTATGCTTTAGAGATAACTCGGTAGCAAAATAGCGATGCAGGCATCTATTCAGTTATGTTTAGCAATTTTATATAAATTATAAAAATGATCTGAAATAGTTATTTACTCTTATGCTTCCATTCAGTCATTTTTAGCCTTTTTATATAAATTATAATAATTAAAAAAGGACTATATGAAATTAACTTTTCATCTAAATTAAAACATCAGTCTTAGATAGTTATTTACTATTATACTTCCTTTCTTGCGTTAGGGTTGCCGCAATTATTTTTGGCAGCACTGACATCAACAATAGTTTGGCGATTTTTTACGGCTCTCAAAACCGAATAATACCATAGAACATGTTATAATACTATTAAATTCTAAATTCTGCTTTAATTCCATAGATACACAGATCTACGCCATTAAAGTAGAAACGGATGTTGCACAAAATGCGCATTGCAAGCTAATGTTTGAAAAGCATTCATATTTAAAAATGTGTTCTCCAAAAATGCATTTAATGGTTTAGATAATTTAAAAAAACTTAATTCCAAACAGGTTTATTATGTAATGATTGGAAAAAATATTACTAAAATATTTTTAAAATGATATTGAAATTTAAGTGATGCATATTGCATTTTGAGGTATAATTTTATGCTTTAATTAGTGTTACGCCGTTTACATGCAGACGAACTGAAAAAGCTTTTTTTTAATGTGCGCCTTCAGATTTTAGGAAATATGTTTGACCAAAAATCTGTAAATTGATTATCTACGATAGACGTTAAATTTATTTATCGTGACTTTCCATTGCTTTCTTGGTTTGCAACCGAGACTTTTAAGTCAATTTTAAATTGAAATTAGTTTTATATAATTGAGGATTTTTACTAATATTGTAGGTCATGTCTTCACGGCCTATATGAACAGGTCTCAGATTCCCTGCGATGACTTTTACCAATTCTCTTGTGGTGCTTGGCAGGAGGAACATCTCTTTCCCGAAGGCAAAAATAGTGTTTCAGTCTTATCCAATCGAACACATAACCATGAGATGCAACTAAAAAGTAAGTAAAGAATCAAATTTTAGCAAATAATTTGATTGCAGACATGATCATATATATATATATATATATATATCAGAAAAACGTGTACTTCTGAAATAAATAATTTGAGATTCCGATGCTGAAGTAGCAAATATTTATGCTTGAGAGCTTGAAATTAAAATTAGCATATCTGAATCCATATTTAATAAATTATAAATTTGAATTTAGTGTGGGAATGCATGTAAATATATACAAATTTATGCTATACTTGAATACAAACTTACAATATGAAGTTGTATTTTCTGTGAGTTTAATAGGTAGAAAATTCTTCTTCGAATTTAATAACGCAGAAAGGAATCATAATTTTAAATCTTCTTTTAAGATACAAATAAACAAGAACTTTCACCCATATATCAATGCACTAAACATACTAATTGAAGTTCATTAGTATAACCGTTATACTAATGTTTTTAGTACAAGGGAAATCACTCATGTACACTGCGGATAAAAAAAACTACTGGGCCGATTGACGAAATTCAACTTGCGTTTTTCAGGTCTTGAAAGCGCGACTAAGGATATGTATTAGATTTATATATAGCTTTATTCTAATATAGGTATTTTGACACAAAATCGGACTTTTTCTGAAATAACATGCCAATTGTTTTCCATATTTCAATTCTACGACTCAAGTTATGTAAACTGCCAAGTTTTGTAAAAATCGCAGTTTTTAAAAAACCAGCTCTCAAAACTTTAGCTCCTTCATATTAATTGAATTTGGTATATATTTACTAATACCTCCTTTTTATTAAACTGATTTGATCCTTCCTTTTTTTCCACATTTTGAAATTTAGGTTCATTCCAAATAAAATTCTCCCATTTTGGGGATTTATTTTTAAATTTTGTATTTTTATAAATTTTATAAATTTTTTGGAAAACATAATCTGTAAAATTTTTACCATCATCTTAAAGTAGATGTAATTTTAAGCACATCTGCAAAAAATTAGAATTTTTTATTCAAAACTTCCTAAGATATACGTGAATTTACATTTTGACACGTTTTGAAGTTGAAAGTATGAACGATGACTTTTTTCCTTCTCGCGTACAATAAAAAAAAAAAAAAAAAAAAAAAAAAAAAAAAAAAAAAAGAAGGGAAAATAGGTTGGTGTAAATTAAGAAGTTCGCCAAGTGAATTATTCGAGGGGGAAGTTGAAAGAAATGCGCCAAATAGATTTTTAAATTTCTCCATAACTTCTCACCAAAAATCACAAAATTTAATATCTAGGCATAATTTGAGTAGTAGAATCGAAATATGGAAACAAATTAGCATGTTATTTAAAAAAAGTCCAATTTTGTGTAAAAATATCTATGTTAGAATAATGCTTTATATAAATCTAATATATATCCTATGTCGTGCTTTCGGGACATGAAAAATGCAATTTGAATTTCATCAATCGGCCCACTAGAAGGGGATTCCCTCACCTTTTTTTGCGCAGTGAACATGCTGATGTCAAATTCTTATATCGTCTTAACAGCATCACTGCGCACATCACGTCTCTGTTTCACGCTGCTCTTTCTATCATATCAAGCACACTCATTCAGACCCACAGGTTAGTTTAATCGCAATAAATACCATCTATCGACATTTAATCGTGATACCAATCCGCAGCAATACAATCCCCAATTAACTATACTGAATTTATGTTTTTCAGTGAAAAAAGATGCAAATCTTTATTGCAGATTAAGTAAACATACATATGCATGTAGGCAGAATATTTAGGGGAAATGTCATTAAAAGCTAAATGGCATTTTCATTCTTCGTTTGTTTGCACTCTTTGAGCACTTACGTGGTCCCACACCTTCCAACATTTGGTGAAATTCAAAAGCAGACAATTAAAATGAATAACCACTAACATTTGGATGACGGAATCAGTTGGAGAGTCGTCGAGAAAATAGAAGCAATTTAGTCTGTCTCAGTGTTCTGTTAGACACTTAATGTAAATTCTAGCGTTCTTGTTCAACATATGGAAATAGTCTAAAGATATCGGATCCGTAGAGAGAGAACGTCTTGGCAATGTCATCCAAAATTCGTGACAGCTAATCAAGGTTAATATTTGTCCACTTGTCAGAGTATCTCAAATGATGTAATAATTATGAAAATTATGTAATTATGTTCTGAGCCTCAGCGGCTCTATAATATCTTACAATGGTATTCGATGTATCTCCTAATACTAGATATGTGGGGACACGCGACAATACTACCTAATCTCTTGGTAAAATGATTGTGTCTCCATGTCCCATAAACTGTGACCTATCATTTCCTAGCACCATGTTAAATCGGGTATACAAATATTCATATCTTTGACAAAGGCTATCTGACTTCTTCAAGGTATTTAAAGAAATTTTCTTTAATTAGAAATTAAAGAAAAACACCTAATTTTCTTTAATTAGAAACCCAATTAAATTGTATAATATTTTTAATTAAAAATATAGGGAAGACTATTTGATTATATTGGTATAAATTTATTGAAACCAGCTTTTACACTTGGCCAACTATGCTTAATAGAAAATAATCCAAAATCTTGTATTGCAGATCTTTCTATTTATTGGAACAACGAATTAGATTTTGTTTACAAATGATAAAGGTCACCGGTCACCTACTGCCAACAACAGATTTCTTTCCTTTTAGTATGTCCGTACGAAATTTCTTTAAAAATCAGTCCATCAGTTTTGGAGATAATCGAACTATGGAGTAACTGTTATTCGTCTTTTTTCTCCCAGAACCTGAAAATAGCATTGCTGTGAGAATGGGGACTGATTGTTACAGAAACTCATAAACTGCTTCATTTCTAGTGTGAAGTCTAGTATAGGAAGTCTAGTTTCTAGTATCGGAGCTCCATGGCTGTGGGAAGAGGACCATACCATCTATTCAGCCTCCCTTTTCGTTCTATCTTGCAACGTTTGTCTTCGTATCAAACTTTTAAAAATTTCTTTTTTCTTTATTTAAACTTTCTGCATTCATCTATACAGTTGATTATATTTTGAGTAAAACTGAACAACAAGACTTGGTACTTGAAGCCCATAACAGGTTTTGACGGACAGCCAGAAGTGTTACTTTCTTAAAGCCCATAAAACATTTGCAACAATTAACAAAACATATTGCTGCATATATAAACCATAACGTAATGTTGCAGTTAAACAGGCTTGTTTACTAATACCTAAATATCGCAGGGATATATGTGAAGATTAAAATGAACTCAGATTCGTTGATGCTATAGAAATAATACAGAAGAAAATAAAATTATTGTATTCCTTATAAAGTATTTATTTTAAATATGTTATAAACGCCTACTTTTCTTTAATTAGAAACCAATTGTATTATATGTTATTTTTAATTAAAATATAGGGAAACTATTTAGTTATACTGGTATAAATTTATTGAAACCGGTTTTTACACTTGGCCAACTATACTTAATAAGATAAAATAGTCCAAAATTTTGTATTGCAGATCTTTCTATTAATCGGAACAACGAATTAGAATTAACTGAATTAGATTTTGTTTACAAACGATCAAGGTCATGTACTGGCCATATCAGATTTCTTTCTGTGTAGTATGTCCCTACTAAATTTCGTTAAAAATCAGTCCATCAGTTCTGGAGATAACCGACTATTTATGAAAATTCTCTTAATTTTGAACCCTAGTATACTATGAAAACAGTGAGTTGTATGCAGTGTAATCTAATTTATCAAGTCTAAATACCAAATAATGCGCTAGTAGTATAACAATTATAAGATTCGCAATAAAGCACCAGAATTACGAGTAACAGTCCATCTTGTTTATTGATCATTCAAGCAAAACAAGTAAGCATCAAAAATCACTTAGGCAGACAAATGAACCTGAGTTACCTATGACGGAAATCATTCTTTACGAAAGGAATATCGTTGGCAGCCATATTATAAACTTAAAAAATATCATAACACTTAACCCAAATACATCCGCCTAGTACATGCGTCTGATGGATTGTCCATTTTCATCCATAACTCCCTAAACGCTATGCATTCCGCCAGTTCTTTTATTAATGAATCCATGCATCTTTCTCCAGCAACATCCTCGCTTGAAATTGTTCCGTTTTCCGTTCTCCAATACGTCTCCGAACATCGCCCTCTAGCTACGGTTGGTCATGGTTTCGAACACATCTTTCTATATAAAATTTGTTCGTCATTGTCTGAAAGAACATCACATAAAATCTGTAAACGATCTTTTGGGACACACTATATATATATGCGTATGCTATTTGCCGCCCAATCGGTATAGTTAGCATCGCTGATTGCCGTCCCAAAGGGCTAGGGTTCGATTTTTGGAGAAGGCATGGATGATTGTAAATATATAGTGTCGATGCGGAATGGCAGCACTCTAAATATGCAGCATCCTCTTGTGTGGCTTAGTGGAAGAGGAGAGGGGTGGGACACCCTCGAACCCCGTCCCCAGGGGTGCTCTCCATCAAAATTGGGAGCGGAACTGAGCCAAATCGCAGTGTGAGTTTGTCTGTGCTCAAGGCAGTTTGTCAACGACGTTCTAGCGTTCCTTGCCACGAAACACGAAGCCCACGAGGAATTTCGTGGCAAATAAGCAGCAATAACATGTGTTAGATATTGCATTGAAAACTAAAGCGAATGAAGAAATCGAGCCCCTTTATAAGCAGCAGTGTAATAAACTTTTAATACACACCAAAATGATGTATAAGTTTGAGATTAAGCTAGTTAAATTATATGAGATTCTTGTCAAACAAAAAAGTTTAACTACTTACTCATAAAGTTATACATCGTTTTGAATTAAATGAAAGTTTATATAGGCTATCATAGAAGAAAATCTCCAAATCGTCGTGATACCTTCTGTGCACGAAGGTACGCAAAATATGAACACATAGCACGAAAAACATAGTTTAGGAAATAGGAGAGGTTAAACGTCACTGACAAACGTTAATAGTTTAATAAATAGTGGCGTTAAAAATAAAGTCAGCACAACATGGTAATGCATCATGTATTCTAGGTGACCAAAATGCATCTTGTGGAAACATAGAGCTGGAAACCCCTAGCTTATCTGGGTATGAAATGTTGAAAGTCAATAAAATGCGAAGCTGAAAGCTACTTCTTGCTCCGAGAAAGAAAGGTAGAAAGCTGGAACTCAGGAAAGGAATGAAAAACCAATCAGATATCGCATTGTTAAAAGGTTAAAAACAAGGAGGAAGGTTGTTCAATGAATATGAATTAAGCATTGGAGGTGGGGTATGTTACTATATTTCGGATGCAGTATCCACCTTTATTACAGAAGAGATTAAAAAGGCAATAAAAAATTTGGGTATATAAATTTAGATGTTATAAATAATGTTCAAAATGCGATCCACCAACAATAAGAGAAGCGGCATATTGTTGTCGTCGAGATTGTTGACATTTTCCCAGTTTCCCGAATGTTGAAGGTCTGTTGAACAACTATTTCTGAAAAGCTATCGGACTTCATGAAAAAAGATTTGGATGTTTTGGTGACGCCTAATTTCATGGAAGAAAACTTATTGAAAAGAGAATGTGGAGGGAAGTATAAATCCACAGGTTCTCCTTTACTGATCTTCACCTTAATTCCTAAAATATACAATTCCGTCATACAATTATTGAGTATTTTTTGCTTAGCTTTTATCATAGAATGCACATTCGGCGTTTCGCAATTTATTCTTGCACATACTGTATAAAGGATGTCCAATAAAGAACGCAACTTTTGAATGCATAATAACATGCAAATTTATTAATGATATTAAGAAATTAAGTAACTAGAATATAAATTTAAGTAAGTAGAAGAGAAATCATGTAACTAGAACAGAAATGACGGGCATTTCAAAATTTACTGTTTTATGGGACCTCCTTTATCAGTTAATGGATACTGATCTCGTCACCTCAGTTCAGTTGAAGAATTAATTTTATAAGAAAGAATGAATTAAAACAAAGTTTTCGTTTGTATAAATGCTAATTGTTTTTATTTCTAGCTATGTTAGAAATCCCAGAAGATGAGAACGACGCTGTTTTTATCAAAAAGATAAAAAGAATTTACAATTCCTGTAAAGATACAAGTAAGACTCATTTCAAATATATATCTTAATCTATATATTAAACGTATAATTTGTCGGTTATTATATGATAAAATATAAACGTTCTGCACTGTTCGTCAGATTTAAAGATATTGACAGAAGTTAAACTTTGCTGTTACTTATAGAAAAGAGATGAAAAAAATCTATATAGAACTATTATTTAACATAAACTACAATGTTTACCAGGTGAAAAATCTTAGAATGTTGAATATAAAGCCAGATTTATAGAAATTTAAAAGTGATGCAATATTTATCTTTGTTTTGCTCTCTTCAATATGGTATATGATTACTATGACAAAAATACAAACCTTGCATCTTGATTTCATAGAATTTACCAAGATGTTAATCAAGTCTTGTGCAAATGTATGCAACTCTTCTGAAAGTATACATTTCACACTTGTATACTTGCCAGAAGGTCTTTCCATCATACGTGGATAGCTTTGAGTTGGTCGGGAAGATATAAGTAAAGGCATCGAAATTATGTCTAGTTTCTCTATGGACTTTTTCAAGCTGTCATCTTCCTTGGCAACAGCAGCAGAAACTTTGTCATCGATTTGTTTTTCTACAGTCAAAACTCTTTCTTCAATTTTTCCAACTTTATTTTCAACCATCTCTATTCTGCCTTCCATAGCCTCGAACTTGTTTTCCATTATGGCAGTAACTTTTGTTTTGATTTCTTCTTGACCTATTTCAGATTTCTATCGGAAGCATTCATTTTTTCTTGAACTGATTTGACGGCCCCCTTCTATCATTTTGGCCTGCTTTCATCACTGCTTTAACGGATTCTTGATCTGCTTTCATTTCTTCTTTGAATGAAGAAAAACTACTTCTAGCTCCGTAAGTTGCGTTTTCATACCTCTTGTCACCAGCATTTAGTACCACTTCTAATACCAAAAATTTCCGTACGGCTTCGTAATGGATTAAAAGCACACAGAACTTATGGCAGTTTGATAAAATTTATTTCCCGAAATTTACAGTTCTGAAACTTTCCACAAAAGTACTCGTATACTTGTTCTTAGTATGGCAGAGCACAATTAGTTGTTATCACTTACTACTAGGGACTACTAGGGACATTAAACACAATCCAATGCAAATCACATCTAAAGAGCGAAGCTCGCACTCAGTATTTCGAAGTCGACTCTGAACTAAACATTGAGAACTGATGCTCTCTTCGGTCTTCCATAGTTTTCTCTCGTCCACCGAGGAATTTCCAGTTCCTTCCATTTCTCGCAATTACTGGAAGGTATATACAGTTTAAGGGGAGTTGCAACCCTCTATACCGACAATGATGAAGTGGCCAAATTCGATGTTCGTAATGGATTAAAAGCACACAGAACTTATGGCAGTTTGATAAAATTTATTTCCCGAAATTTACAGTTCTGAAACTTTCCACAAAAGTACTCGTATACTTGTTCTTAGTATGGCAGAGCACAATTAGTTATTATCACTTACTACTAGGGACATTAAACACAATCCAATGCAAATCACATCTAAAGAGCGAAGCTCGCACTCAGTATTTCGAAGTCGACTCTGAACTAAACATTGAGAACTGATGCTCTCTTCGGTCTTCCATAGTTTTCTCTCGTCCACCGAGGAATTTCCAGTTCCTTCCATTTCTCGCAATTACTGGAAGGTATATAAAGTTTAAGGGGAGTTGCAACCCTCTATACCGACAATGATGAAGTGGCCAAATTCGATGGATAATTTTGGCGAATTTTCGCCAAATTTAGCAACAAAAATTAGTTGCAAAAACCACAGCCAGCTTGGTGCTGTCCTGCAAATTTGGCGAGATAGCCATCTACCTGAGTGTTAAATGGACTTACTTCTGTAACGTTATTTTTCGCTCTTTTCAAATTTTTGGTGTTGCATTGTATAAAATTCGTAGCAATAGCATGAAGTAGGTTTCATTGCAAAGAATAGGAAATGAAGTCATTCAAATATTGTACTTTACCATTGTTTATGAACAAGCTCACACTAAAAAAGTTCGTCTTTTAAAATAAACATTCATATATATATGTAGAATCGGTACTTACTGTCTAGGAATATGATGTCTGTAAACTTACTCCTTTTGTGGCTGTCTAGGGGCTAATAAGCTAGTCCGATTTATGGAAAACTCGATAATTTAAATAAATAATAAATTCGATAAAACATGAATAGTTGCTACAAACTACAAAATGATTACATGTGTAGAAGGAAATAGATGATATTTACAGATGAAAGAGAATCGACCGTCTTTTACATGTGAACATCTTTCAGTCGCATCATCGTCTTAATGGCGGAATCGTCTGAATTCTATCATTGGAAAAATAAAAGATTTATTCTCACAGCTTGTTGCGTCATCCGATTATAATGAACGATGCCATCCCACAACTGCTCGTCCATCCTGATGAAATGCGGCCTCGCATTCTCGTAGCACCACTGTCTACATCTAGGGATCTGAAAAATAAAATTTAAAAAAACAAAACAAAACAAAAAAAGATTTTTAGTTACTATTGAGGGAAAAGTCGTCTTAAATGGTTTATTTCAGCCATCTTCACTTATCATCTTAACATCTTCAGAAATAACGGCTTTATCTCTTCTTCAATGCTCTTTCAGTGCTCGTTCATCTTTAACAGTCTATCTGAATACATACATTTCACAAACACGTCTTCCTTTGATGTTGTCTGGAACAATACGTCTTCGTATTTACGTCTTCTTAAACATCGTCTGAATACGTCTTCTGAATGCGTCTTTTTAGATACCGTCTGGATACGTCTTCTGAATGCGTCTTAGATATCTTCAAGATCCGTCATTCGAATGCGTCTTCTCAAAATCATCTTCCTTCATACATTTCATCCTTAGACATCATCTTCAGTCTTCTTAAATTAGTTCACGTCTTTAAAACAATAGTCCATTAGTCAAATCAGGAGAAATTTGTTTAGTCGGAAAAACGTCTAAATCAGGAAACATCAAAACTGATATTTCATTATCAAAGATTTTCAATTTTCTTCCTGGATCTTCTGAATCTGCTTTTTCGCTTCTTTTTTCTCACCTTCTTTACTTTCTTATGTTCCGTCTTTGCTTTCCGTATCAGCGTCGTTATGCAGGTTTTCTGACTGACTTCTGCTTTTCAATCTTCTCTTTTTCTTCGGTAGTCTCTGTAGTTTCTTCGTTTCCAGTGGCTTCTTTTGCTTCTCTATTGCAAGGTATTTGACTGAAATTGTTCTAGTAGTAGAATTCGCATTTGTTTCATCATCTTTAGCAAATGACTCTTCTTCGGGAAAATGCTTCTCTTCAGAATCTCCTTCTGCAGTTGCGTTTCTCCTCGTTGGGCTTCAGAGCTAATTGTATTGTGCTTGAATTTCCTTTTTCACTAATTCATCTTTAATAGCATCATTTTCATTTACAGCAGAATCTGCATCACTCTGGACATCATCAGAATTCACAATCAGGGAATCAATGCCACTTGCTTTCATTGTAGATGAAGTGTCCAGTTTGATCATATTCTGTACTGTAACAGGAACTATACTAACGGGATCAGTTTCTGGTTTTGGAAGTAAAAAACCATAATTAACAACTTTTTCAAATCCTTCTTCAGAACCATTTCCATTGCAATAAGCTTTTTTTTTTGCTCTTCAGAATCATTCTCAGATTTCTTGTTTTCTGGCGATAAAACAAATATTTGATCTAAATGAAGAACCTCAATTTGGAATTCACCTTCAGTCTCTCTATAGGTTTGTTGCCAATTCCGTTACTGTAGCTCTGCCGACTTAAATTCAGGAGAACCTATTCTTTGTTATGTATATCTCTCGGATTAGCGTTACTTGACTACCAGTATCTATTAAAGCATCAATTTTCAAATTACCCAAATTAACAGTTTTATGCATTTCTTTCTGACAAGTCTGAGTTATTGGAGTAACAGCTTTGGCATCTTGGATATTTTTAGATGATGGTTTTGGACAATCTTTGTGTCCAAACAAATCGCATTTAAAACACTTAAATCCTTTACTCTTATTGTTACAGAAATTCGACTTATGGCCTAAACTTCCACAATTGTAACACCTTGGCTTTTAATCTTACTAGGTACAGCGCGTGTTTTATTTTGTGTGTTAGTACTTGAATAACCCTTATTTTTCGTATCTGGAACGCGAATTTTCTCATAAATGTTTAATTTCTCTTTGAATTCAGAAATAGTTTTACAACCGTACAAAACAATTTGTTACTACTCGATCTGGTATCCCATTGATTCGTAATCAAGAATTGATGATTCATCAACGAACCACGACTGGCTATTTCCGCATGGCAATTAAATATTCGGAAAGTAATTCACCAGGTTTTAAGTGTCGTTTCTGTAACAAATTATGAAGTTGTGCACTGTTTATTTTAGAACCAAATTCAGATAAAAGATTTTCTTTTATTTGTCCCATGATATTATACCCTTCAAAGACGTAATAAATACTTTAGCAGAACCAGTAAGCAATTTTTTAGCAAACACAATTTTCTGTAGTTCCGATAACTTAAATAATTTAAAAGATTCTTCTAAATCCCAAATGAAGGCTTCAACTGGATACGTATCAGTGCCATTAATTCCGAAACCAGTTTCTAGATATCACGAAAATGTAGGGAATATTGCTAGGCATTATAATGTTTCATCCACTGAGTTATTTATGGGAGGTGATTCTGACGCGAACAGATTAATATCATCATTTTTATCAGAATCATAAACACTTTCGTTTTCAGATAACTCATCATCGTCATCACTTTCGGATTTTGAAGCTTAAAATCACAAGACTATTCAATATTAAATCACAGTTTTATCAGGATTTGAATATAATTAAGATGTAACAAATTACACACAGAAATAAAATCATTGCAGTAAGAGTTTTAAGTAATTTTGTGTTGTTTCTTCAATATAAAATCAGATGGAAAACCACAAAAGTTACGCAATCTAGCTCTATATTTTCGATCACCCAAAGTTCCAAACAACAATTTGATGTAAAAATTTAATTGACTTAGTAGGCCCAGTCTTTTTAAAGAATTTTTGAAATTCTAGGAATAGAATTCAAGGTAGTCATCTTCATTCACAGTATCATAGAACACTATTCTTAGAAGTAACAATGTGTAAATAATCGAAACAAAACTTACTTCTCTTCTTTTGTAATATTCATCATGCTTCTTCCTAGGCTCATCGTGGCCTGAGCGGCCAAATCTGTAGAATCGGTACTTACTGTCTAGGAATATGATGTCTGTAAACTTACTCCTTTTGTGGCTGTCTAGGGGCTAATAATCTAGTCCGATTTATGGAAAACTCGATAATTTAATGAAACATGAATAGTTGCTACAAACTACAAAATTACATACTGTGTAGAAGGAAATAGATGATATTTACAGATGAAAGAGAATCGACCGTCTTTTACATGTGAACATCTTTCAGTCGCATCGTCGTCTTAATGGCGAAATCGCCTGAATTCTATCATCGGAAAAATAAAAGATTTATTCTCACAGCTTGTTGCGTCATCCGATTATAATGAACGATGCCGTCCCACATATACATATTTCATTTATTTAATTGAAGTTTTTAAAGCTAGTTTAATTGGTAATAACTTATCATATGAAATTAATACCTTATATATAGAATGGGATAATGGCGGCAGCATTTATGCGAAGTGATAAATACTTGTTAATTTGTCACTACAGTTGTTTATAACGCTTTTTACTCTCAACACTGTGTTTTTTTAACTATTATTATTAATCAATTATTATTAATTAAAAATTATTATTAATAGATTAAATTAATATAATTTTTAACTATTATTATTAATTTAATCTATTATTATTATATTATATTATTATTACACTGTGTTTTTTTAACTACTATTATTATAATAATTATCAAGGGAATCCTTCGTGTCATCGGTATTATCCAGTAAGTGTAGCATGTTAATAATATGTTCACATTATATATTTCAAGTTTACAGTTTCTTTTACAGATGACAGGCAGCATGTATCCAAAAAAATTAACATGCTGCTGCATTATAACACATGTTTTCCATCTTTGAAACTTTCGCATGTGCTGTTAGGAAATCCAGTAAAAAAATGAAACAAATGAGCTCATTGTTACCAAAAACAAATATATCAAGAGCCACATGTTTATACTTTGACATAAGTGAAGCGTTTAAATGAAAATAGCTAAATTAATATACAAAAGTGAATTGAGGTTCAAGAAAGAGCAAAAAGGAAATGCAATAAATCAAGAAAATTAACTAGTAGAAATGGCATTTATGCTACAGCTGTTCTCAACATTTTGATTAACGTGTACCATCTAAACAAAAATTGAAAACCTTTAGTACCACCGCTACAGAGTACTACTTCCACGACTCTTGAACAAAGCTCAGATCACATAAATTTACGACGAGTGTTAGAGAAAAAACTCAATCAGGATGTTGGGGTTTTAATTTTTTAATTTGATAATTAAAAATACTTTGCTCCTTTGCGTACCACCGGTTGAGAACCCCTGCTATAGAAGATGAGTAAAATTTAATACTTGCGTATTATCGCAACCATTTTAGTAGAAACTGCCAAATTTTCAGAATGTGCGGAATAGTGGCAGCCATGCTCTTAGAATTCTTCAATCAAGCATCATCATCATTTTTGTATGCGTTGTTGTTATATTCCAAGTTCCAACAGATTTTATAAACAAATCTTGATATTTTTTGCTTTAAAATTAATTTTAAAATATGCGCTTGTAGTATTTTTCCAGCGAAAGGACAAACTGCTTTAAATTTTCTGTAGGAATGCAGTATTTTGCAGCAAAATCTGTAAAAGAAACAACAGTGAGAAAATTTTACTAGCTAGCCTGTGAGCGATGCCGAGTTTGTGGTTTTTTAAAGCGAAAACAAAGGGATGTGTATACGGAAAGGACACAGGAAATACTGCAGAAGGATTTCGTAAAAAGTGTGAGATTTTTATTTTTAATGCATTATTTAATTCTAATTTAATAATTAAAATTTGCAGCTTAAAATGATAAAGTGCGTTTCCTTTTGATATGTTGATAATATTTTCCGACTTACAATAAATATCTATAGTTTGGCTATTAAAAGCTCTTAAAAAAGTTGCAGCTCTTAAAAAAATGTCGTGAAAATTGCCAGCTTGCCCCCGATAAGTTACTTTTATCATTTCATCTGTAAAAAGTCATCAAATTGTGCAAAGGTGGTTGCGTTGGTGCGTAAGCACCCAATTTTACTCTTAATATTCGAACCTTTGTAAATGTTTAATATTTATTTAACAATAACTAAAAATCATTTTTTTTATTTTTATATTCATTATGTAGGTAAAAAATCTCTGTTTTAGAAATACGAATTCTATAATGGACTTGAATTCCATAATGAAACAAAATGCAGGTTCTAAAGTATTGCATTCAAAATATTATGGGATATAAATATGTTAAATGCCTGTAAAATTCAGAAGAGTATATAAGTCAAAGGAAATGGTAAAATGTTACTTTAACTGAGATGCAAATTAAAAAGTTCTCTGTTGGTTATTTCATCATCAGTAACGATATAAATCTCCAAAGCACAGAATGTCACAAATAAAGATTACAAAATACATTACAGAATATATTCGTTAAAAGACTGTTGATTTAACTTTTGATTTTACTTCTAAAGAGTAAAAGCAATCCGGTCTTTATTATATATTCCATTCATGTGTACGTAAAATAGCAAATGACGGATTGATATAATTATTACATATAATATACGTTAACAAATAGTAAATGTTATGTTTATAGACAAATTAATCCAAAATAATACACATATTAGACAAAAAAAAAAAAAAAAAAAAAAAAAAAAAATGCGATCAGCATGGGCGTTAAATAAAACTTCCAAACAAACTGTAATTGTTAACATCATTCGGCGGCGATTGACTTGATGAATAAGCCTGAAGCTTGTGTAGTAGTCGCTGTTGTTGCTTCCCCGTGCCAATGGTACACCATTGATAATAATGGTGCAATAAGCGAAGTTCTTTTAATATTGATCAATTCAATGTGCATTCTGCCATTACATTTCCAGTTACAGCTAATTATAACCTTTGCGTTCGTTACCTTTTTCACATCCTTATTTCCAAAGCATATTTTTGGATTACGTAGTCTTTAATTCTTTTCTTTTTGAGTCAGAGAATGAACAAGAATGAAAAAAAAAACGTTAGACATCGTAATTAATTAAAGATAGTAATAAACCAAAGCGGTTACATAGCGCATATCACTTCTTAATATAAATTCAGTTAGGTCTTATAGCAATAAACTAAGTTAAACTCTGTGGCGTAACAGACCTAGTGGGTCATGGCCTGCAGTGTCCGATATCTGCTTTTCTGATCATAGGCATATGCCCTGGGCAAGTGGTCAGGTTGTCATTATAGCAATAAACTTGTATAACTAGCAACGCTTTTTATTTATACTGTCTTCACATAACATTTTATTTCGACAGGGTACATCAACGCTATATCAGACCAACATTTGTTAAATATGGTGGAAAGTTTTATCTCCTGGCCCTTACTGGATGGCAGTACGTGGTCTCCAGCGTCATTTGACTGGCTTGAAACTCTTATTAAATTCCGTAATAAAGGATACAGCTATGACATCCTGTTCAGTTTATCTGTTACGGAGAACCCCCTGAACACCTCGGCTTACATCATAAAAGTTAGTATACAGTTACTAGCAAACTTGTACTTGGAATGCTGCAGATCTCACTCTAATTAATCTCCGTATATTCGAAAAAAAAATGGTAAATGATGACAGTGGTTAACGAAAATGTGTGAAAGTTTTGTAGAAAACGCTTAATAAACTTGTAGTGACTGGCGGTTCGTTTGCATATTCTAGCTCATGAACGACCGCAACATTGATCTCTGGCATACTTATTCTATGAAACTCTTAATAATTATTGATAATAATATATATAGCAAACATAAAACCATATATTTAGTAGTAGTATTTAGTTAGCCTTATTTTCTGGCACAATTTTGAGATTGAATTATTCACACCCTTTAAGCTTTCCTGTTGCATTTTAAGTCCTTTGATTCAATATGATTGAAGACAATATCAAAAGAACTGCCGAATCTATGGTCGATGACCGGCCCAAAATCGATCAGCTTTCATTGATAGACTGAGTTGTACATTCTTAAAATCCTCTGACAATAGACGCTTTTGTAAATGTTAAGTAAAGACATTACTTCGGAAATTATTACTTCTGAGTAATCAGAACATGTAACTTCACACTTTTTATGGCTCAACTGTTCTGCATCGGCTTTAAAACTGCAATTTACGTAGAAAATGCGCATGAATATCCTTTCTTAATGCGTTCTATAGCATTCATATGCGCTAATTTCAAGAAGATTTGAATGCATTATATTGTTGCGAAATGCTCAGCGGCTACGCGTTGAGATAGCTTCTCCGCAAAGAGGGCTTAAGGTTGCCAGAAAGTGGCGCGAAATCGGTGACTTGGCAATGGCGAAAGAATTGGTGATTTGTCATAGACGGAGCGAGAGCATTCTAGAATATATATTTTTAGCGGTTTTCTCTAGAATATATTCGTAGGTAGGTTAAAGCTATATATAATCTGCCTGTCCCAGCAGAGAGTAGGCCCACCAGCGGCCGAGCGGTAAAAATCGCTGAACACTGGTAGTTCGGTCCGAGGTTCGAATCCTGCGAACGGGCTGGCTGCAAGGGCGTTTTCGTGGTTTCCCCCATGTGTAACGTGTATACGAGCCAGTTTCCCTTAGAAAGTCCTCCACGAAGGCATCCCTCCTCTTAGGCAGATAGCCCTCGAGGCTTTGCCATAATCACACACACACCCAGCAGAGAGTATTAATCTTGAGTTCAGAGATTAGCTCGAGTGCGATCGACCGAGTCGAGAGCTGTACTTCAGTGTTCTCCCGCGAAGCTGTCTTCACCGTTATAGCCTGAAAGCTATGTTGCTAAGTGTTTCAGTACGTTTGTTATAGTCTTTTGGCGAGCGTAAACGTGTCTTTCAAACTGTTCTGTGTAACAGTGCTTGCTGGCGAATAAAATAGTGTTTTTATTCTTAATTAAGTGTTTACTTCAAATTACTTCAAATCACAAATTAATAATATTAATCAATTACTTCAAATTCACAAATCCGCAGAACGAACAATATTGCTGAAATCTGCTTATTGTAATGCATTTATTTTACTTGTTATGAACCAGATCTATATATGTTTCGTAATTCTCAGAATAAAGTTTTTACCAATTATTTTCTATAAAATGTAGAATGATAATAAGACTGGACAACTGAAAATATTTTGAATGATAGTTATTAATCTATGACTTTAGTTTAAGGTGTAAATCAAATAACGTCAATTTTGATAATGAAATACTTTTAACAATGATACAAGAAGAGTGAAATTCCTTAATGTACAGAAAAGTACGTTTCATGATCAACTTAAATAAAAAATGTTATCTTTAAACTCTCAAGATTATTATGATAAACCGCATTTATAAAATCTTTTGGGTATTGTATAGCTAACTTAGGAAGCTTAAACACACCTACGTAAATGTAAGTTTCCGAATATAAATTACAAAACTTTACTTTTTATTTTAAAGAAAAATAAGTTTGTGCTTAATACTATCTTTCACAGAAATACGAAAATTTCCTAATGCTAAATTTAAAGAATTCAAACTTTATAGATTCTTTAAAATCCTCTAGGTTGTCACTTCATTTCAATCAATCATAATGGTTTCTATAGCATTCTTTCGAAATCTGAAGGTCCAGTTATGCATGTTAGAGAAACAGGGTGTCTTTTAATGACTTAAATAGCATATGGATTGTTTTAGTAATTGAAATCACTTTTTGTAGAAAAAAAAAAGTTACACTAAGTTTTTTTTTACTAAATGTATCACGTAACCAAGATTTGCAATTAGAAATACTACCTTATTTAAAATGTTTCTGAATTAAAACTAAAGATCTGCCATAAGATGTTCGAAATATATTCAGTCGTGCAAGTCTGTCAAATAATTAGATTTGAAAAGTACAAATATTGGAAAATACCCATGGTTTGAAGTATATTGTTTTGCCTTTAATTTATAATGTTAAAATGCAGCAGAATTTAGTTGCAATTTTTTACTAAAATTAATCTCAAGAAAGAACTGAAAAGACATTTTCATATTTTCCACATCTCCCATTCTAGAGTACCGAAGCCTTTCCAAAGCCTTGATTACTTTGGTTTATTTGATTATGGCAAATCACGCAAGCGATATTCTTTCTGCGATGAAGGGAAGAGATGCTTTCGTGGAGGAATTTCTCAGAGAAACTGGCGCATACATACATATACCTGAAGAAAGCTACGAAAATATTTATGCTTCCAGCACATTTGCCTGGTATCGAACTTAGTCAAACTATTAGTGTTTAACCCTTAAAAAACGTAACCATTAGAAAACCGCAGCCTTCGGTATAAAGATTCTGTACTGTTTACTTTTAGTTACAGTTGAATGTGAAGAATTTTAAGAACTGATAAGCGACTCACTTTGTAAAGGCTAAGTTGCTGTTGAACGTGAAGAATCTTAAGAACTGCTAAGCGAATAATCGCTTAAATTCGTGTGACAAGAAACAACAAGGTAGAAAGGTGAAATAACCCTTTATTATTCTAAGCAGGTGTAACAGAGCTCCGTCTTGGAGTTGTACAATAAAACCGACACTCGGACTTGAACTTAAGAGCCTAAGAAGTAAACTAAACTAATATTAACTAAAAAAGATATAGCTGAAGCTATCAAGATTCTAACGGAGTTGGCCCCTTAACGCTAATTGACTGCGAAGCTATCAAGGGCCTAAAGTAGGGCCGAGCGTAATAGTAGCTTAAGAGAGAGTAGCCTAAAAAGGCGAACGCGTGCTAGCCAGAATCTCTGGTTCTCTCTGATTAAGAGAGTAGAATTTAGAAACGGGATTCTAAAACTACGTTCTGGCCGGAAGTGGTAAGTTGAAATTAAGAAAGGATAGGAAAGGATGTTTAACTCAAAATTTAACTGTTAATAAAATTAACATAATCCTTACATAATTCCCGACCAGACTTTAAATAGTCGAAAATTAAAGGTCTCTAAACGACCTTGTTTAAGACTTTAAAGTCTAAAAACCTTCTAACGTTAAATTACTAACTCTTCTAACTCTTGTATGAACTAGCTTTTCACCTTAAACTTCTGTTCTTAGGGCAAACTTTACAGAAAATCTAAAACTAGACTAAAGCTAGAAATTGACAAAATTTGACAATTTTCAATCCTATTTTGTTACAATCATCTTCCTCTTCTTTCGTTTATTTTCGCTATTTTAGTCTTGCTCCTTCCAATATTTGGAAGGAAACAGTATTAGTGCTGGCTTTTACAAAAATTTCCATGTTCCTTACAATTACTCCTTTTTGCATTAATTGGCCCTCACACGACTTACATTCATACTTAAACTTCTGTTTCCCCCATGCTGTCCAGAAATTGTTCTGAAATGTACTGAGGGTACTTATGTTGGGTTACCGCGAAGAAAACTACAGATAAACAACATCTAACATTGTTTAAATTTGACATAGTAGATTCTGCACGTCGTTGAGTTTGCGGCTTCGCTGGAACCTCCTCAGCAGGCCTCGCTCTCGTAGCCGGCGGTACTGGTGTTTTTCTTGAATCCTCGGTTCTGGCTTGTTGATCTTTAGGCGTTACCTTTTTCCGTTTCTGTGCGCCTGGACCTTTTCCGGGTTGGATCCTCTTCACCGGTGATTGTTGCGGTCTCTCCGTCAGCTTTCTTTTTTGTGTTGGAGGACTCCATCTGGGCTTGCTGGCGGAATTCTTTCCTCCCTTCCAGGATCCTGTAATAAATCCTGTAAATCTTGAAAATCATTACGGCTGTAGTAAGGCTGTATTTGATCAATATTTGCAATGATTTGTTGGCCATTTTCGGCCTTTCAATAAAAAGTGGCTTCTCTTATTTTTTTTACAATATCCGGCTCTTCAAACCTGAGTTCAAACTTCGCAACTCTGTTTCCGGGTGCGGACGATAATGAATGCTTGACTTCTACCCCACCGTATATTCCATTTCCCTTCTATTTCTATCGTAATATATTTTCTGTTTCTGCCTTGCTACATCAGAATTCTTAATTGCTTCATCGATAATTCTCTGTATGTCTTTTAACTTAAATTCTTCTTGCCTTTGTTGTACAAAGAAAAGCTTATCCAAAGGCGTTAGAATTTTTCTTCCTGAAAATAACTCCGCGGGGGTCTTCTATGTAGTATCGTACTTTGCTGTTCTCAAGGCAAAACCTAACTTATTGACACAGCTGTCCCAGCGGTCATGGTAATTCTTAACGTATCCCCTGATAATTTTTACAATTTTCTTATGTACGTGTTCCGCAGTACTCGATCAGTCTATATGGTACCATTTTTAGATAGCGTATGCCGAGTCCTGGGCATAAATTTTTAAGTATATTGCTAACAAGTTGTTTTCCATTATCTGATATTACTTTTATTAGTATTTTAAAATATACCTATTTAAAAACGAATCTGTGACCTGAAGCTCGTTTAAGAAGAACTATTTCTACTCATTTTGAGAAATGATCTACAATAGTTAACAAATATCTATTTTTATTAATTTTTGTTCTAGGGTAGGGTCCGAGCAGATCAATGCCAACCATTTCATTTGGAAAATTAGTCTT